CTATGTCTGGAAAATGTTCTTGCCAACTCCGACAAAGCAGATTCTGAAACCATCACGGGTGTCCTTCTTAAAGTCATTGAGAAAAACGGTCTCAATTTTACGTGGTTTAAGAGCTTTGTATCAGATGGTGCAAGTGTTATGGTTGGAGAAAGGTCAGGTGTAGCTACCAGATTGAAAGCTGATGAAAGAATCCAGTCCTTAATATCTGTCCACTGTGTTTGTCACAAGCTAGCTCTAGCATGTACAGACACTTTGAATGATCTTTCTACAATAAAGCAGGTGCAAAACACACTTAACACCCTCTGGCGATTGCTTGACAATTCCAACAAGAAAACATCAATTTTTTTAAAAGTGCAACTTCACATGAATGACATAACTCTGACAAATAAGAATTCCAAGAGGAAAGTAGCCAAGAAGCTGAAAAAGGCATGCCAAACACGCTGGCTGTCATTTAACAGCACTGTTTAGTCTGCATGGGAAAGCTTTCCTGCCATTATTCAATTTCTTCTCAAGCTGAAGGATGATGATCCCACATGCCAGGGCCTCCTTGTGCAAATGAACAATGTCCGTTTTCTGTCTTGCTTGTATATTCCGAAGCATGTGCTTCCCCATCTTGACAATTTGTCAAAATCATTTCAGCATTCTACAGTCAATTTCAGTCATCTGAAACCAGAAGTTGTTAGGGCTAAGGCCGCTCTAGATGAAGTAACAACCAGTGAGGTACCTGTCAAGGAATTTAGTCATGATGTCAAGGAAGGAAAAATGGCGATGTTGCAGTTCTCTCCCTCTGAGCACCAGCTTGCATACATGCGAAACTTGCTACTCAAGTACGTCTCTGCTCTGAAAGAGAATATTGATCTGAGGTTTCAAAACACCCTCCCTCTTCTTGGGGCTCTTTCAATATTTGATCCTACTCTTATTCCTTCAAGTGTTTCAGAACTTCCATCTTATGGGGTAGATTCTATCAAAGTACTCGCCAAGCACTATTTCCCTGACCAACAAGATCGACTACTGGCTGAGTGGAATACATTGAAGTATCATATGAAAGAAATGACCCTTCCAGTTGATGTGAAAGAGGGTAAGACCATCATGCCAGCAGAGTGGTGTATGTGCCAGTTGATGAAACAGAGGTCGTCTTTCATTTCTCTTCTTCCTCTTCTTATGCAACTTGTTGAGATAGCACTGACAATGCCTATCAGCAATGCATGGCCTGAAAGGGAGCCAGTCAAGTCAAGTTAATCAAGACAAGGCTGAGAAGTAGGATGAGTAATGATATGTTAGCTTGTCTTCTAAACATCGCAATGAATGGCCCAGAAGTCAATTCCCATGAATGTGACACCCTTGTTAAGATGACCACTGAGAAATGGCTCTCTGGAAGACGCTACAAGTTGAGCAAAAGAAAGTCTGCAGCAAGAGAAGCTCTCGGGACCTCAGAGAAAGAACCTACACTGATCGAGACCACCAGTGCGTCCACCCAGACTGAAACAGAAGAGAACAGTCGGGAAGAGCAAAAGCAGCAGCAGAAAGAAGAAGAACAGGCCCTCATTAAATTAGGTCTTGCGCAGTATGCAGATGATCCAGGTTGTGATGACAGTGACAGGGACAGTGCCATGGAAAGTGATTTCAGTGACTCTGAGTAATGCTTAGATAGAGATTTGAAGCTGCAAACTGATCGAGTGTTAAACTGTTTATCTTTAACTTACATGTACGCAAATGATGAAATCATGGTATTATATTACAGTTCAGTTTTATATTGCACTTCAATTGGAGATACAAGAAGTCAAATAATGTAATAAGTACTGTACTCATGCAAAATGTAGAAGCATTCCTGGCCATTTTTGCAAAACTTTATTACTTTGAAAGCAACTAATTTTACAAAGTTTGAACACTAACCCTTATTAATAAGTGTACAATGGCAGTCAACAAAATCAGTTACAGGTGCAAAACATACAAGGGAATAAAGTTCATTAATCAAGGAACCCTGGTTTTTAAATTTTCCAGGGGAAGCTCCCCATTCCTCTCTGCAGAAGGGGCGGGGTTGCTCCCCCCACTCCACAAGGCTGCCGATAGTGCTCCGGCTACTTTTTTTCAATTTGAAAACCCTGGATGAGTTGACGCACTCGAACAATGATACCAACTCATCGACGTCTCTTGTTACCTTGGCCAGTGGATCAAGATCATGTTCTGAAAACGCTTTATCAGCAACAACATAATGCCAAGTGTAATTATGACCAGCAGAGTAGAGATTTGCCTCCACTGGAAGTTGGGGACAAGGTGCAGTTTCGTCCAAATTGTGAGAGGGAAAGGCGCAAAGCTGAAGTAATGCCAAGATCATACGTTTTGGAAGATGAATATGGACGTGCTTACAAGAGAAATAGAAGACAGATCATCTCTGTTCCAAACGATTCTCCCATGACCCCAAGGTCAAGGGCTCCTCCCATGAGTACACAACCTCGTAACTCTCCTGCAAGGACAAGACAGGGACTTGAGGAGGTAGAATTTCATAATAAACGAAATTAACGCGATTAGGACACAGTTGATGGTGACAACTGGAAACAAATTTAACAAATATTGTAAACCTTCGCCTTAGCTTTTGTGAAAGATGAAAAATAAAGGGTAACTGGAAAGAAAAAAATCTTGTAGGTAATGTTTTTAAGGTGTCAAGAATGTCTGGACAGGCTCCAAAATTGGGGTAAAAATACTGGAAATTAAGAGCGCGGAAATTAGTACTGCACATAAATTAATGTCGCGGAAAATAACACTCAACAAAATTAACGCGACTTAAATTAACGCGAATTTTAATGATTCCCATTAATTTCATGGAGCATTAATTTCCTATAATAAGGTAACCTGACTTCTTTTTTCACTGGCCCTCGTAACATTACGACACAGTTAACCCCTTTATTACTCTCTGTCACGTGCGAAGCAGGAGGTAGTAATTCTGGCATTTTGCTACAGTTCAGATTGATTGATGATAACCATGAGACCATAACTGGCAGGAGAGCGACAATTCTCGACTATTCCTCAAAAGTACATTTCTTAGTCCTTTTACAGATGACCAACACTTCTTACGATGAGATGGGAGAATTTGTTACATCAGACACAGACGATGAACAACTCATAAATGCCAGCCTGGAAATTGAAGGAAATGAATCTTTTCTCAGCACGGATGCCAATATACTGCAAGTAGAAGTTTATGTTAGCTTAGATTTCTGAGAAACAGGTCATGGGGCGGATTGTAGTGCAATTAGTATAGAAAATCAAAGAAGATCACATCGCACATGGCCCATTGAAAACATAATCAAGGAAATGTCTTGACAAGTCAAATAAATGAAGATTATATTCCTCTTAAGGAAAAACATCAACCTCAAGTGGAATCACATGCCCGCGCTGAGGAATCTTATGGAAAAAGTGACAAACTATAGAAAATAAGGGAAATACAACTGAGGTAAATTACACTCTACTAGAGAAATTACCTGAAATGAGGGAAGATGACTTAATTATTTGGAAGGGACATTTGACTAAAATTGGGCTTAGTTCATTAAACGAGTTTCAGATGAAAGCCATTCAGAGTGTTCAACATGGTCGAGATACAATACCTGTTACCAGTTACCTGCCCTGTTTGACTGCCAAAAAGTTGTTGTGGTGATCAGCCCCACATTGTCACTGATAAACTTGCAAATCGAGGGACTGACAAGACTTCATATAGACACGATTGCATAAGGTAGTGCAGCGGGACGAAACTCTCAAACATATCACGATAGACTCTTTACAAATGATGATAGAAAACTATCACCATCCATCGTATTCACGACTTCAGAACACTTTGTCAAGAACGAATGTCACAGTTTACAAAGAATCGAGGAATATATCAAACTGAAAGTTTTACATGAGGTTCTTAAGATGGTGGACAGAAATGCTGACTTAAGATAAAGTTACAAATACTTCAAGGATATTAAAAAAACTTCTGGTATACCTGTGATGACATTGATTGCTACTCTGAATCAATCACAGTTACAGAATTTGTGTGAAAATTACTTAGAAACTCCTCTACTCATTAAGGGCTCAATAGATCGAAGCAACATCGAGATCAACATAAAACCATACGTCCATGAAGAAAAGGGGCAATTCAGGCGGATGCTCCAAATCAAGGTCAAATTCAAACAAGAAATTTGGACTGCCATGGCTACTGACGTGAAAAACAACGGGCAAAGAACGGATAGCTGTGGCGAGAGATGTTTATGAAAGCTGGAGGAAAATGAAGTGTATGTGTGTGTATTCGTCAGACACGGCCTTCGCTCGACATCTTTTGTCCTTGGAGATGCGACGAAAAGCGGGGTAAGTCACTTCAGTTTTATCCATTTAACATAATATCTTTTCTCCCCCCTTAGTTTATACACGTATCATAAACATATTTCTCTCCCTCTAGTTTGCTTGGGATTGTGGCTTCCAAAAGTGGAGTGCGTGGCCGTGGAACCAAAGAAGCTCCTTTGAGTGTTCAAAGCCCGCGGAAGCGTCTTGATCTGGGATCGTCTGGCGAAATCCAAGGTAATCTTTGTTCACTTACAGAAAACACTTCCTTATAAGCTATCTATTTGCTATCGTTTTGCAGTTCCTTTATGTTTTTTGGCTAGTCTTCGAAGACGTTGACATTACAATGTAGTCATTTGTTGTTTTGGTATAGATCCTTTTTATCCTGGAGTAACATCTACTCCTTCCAAGTGTCGAGACATGCCAATGCAGAAAACTCCCGTAGTTTTACAGAACAGTAGGTACTTTGATTATATAATTCACCAGTCACTTATGTATATGTAGCCTAATTCTGAGAAACTTGTCTTTGATACCTTACATTAGTTCTTTGCTTATATTACTACTCTGCTAGCCTTATGGGTGAATGGAAGACATACATGCAGGCTAATCAGTTGCTGATTTTGACATGGTCATTTCTGTTTGCAAATTATTTGTCTGCCACGAATTTTATGATCATTATGATCATCCTGTCACTGCTTGCATCACTTTAACCAGTGAGTTCCACGACAAGCAAAAGATAATCACTAAATTCATCTTTTTACCATCTAAATATACACCGTGTTCTAAGGTGAATTTTGTGTGCTGTAATACTGCAGATACATATACATATACATCACATCAATGGAAAAGATGTTTTGCAACATTTTGTGTTATCTAGATCTTTCAGCTGTTGGTTGTTGCTTCCTTTTCATCTTTGATGCAGACGTTGATGTCACTGGCAGTGAAGTAACCACTGCTGGTGATACGAGTTTCATTTTAGAGGAAGGAGAGGTCACCATTTTACTCAATAAGGATGATCAAGACAGTGATTCATACTGCGACACAAGTAGTGACAGTGATGATCCAACATTGTACGTTGCTGTTTGTTTTGTTTTTTCTTTTCAGATGTAATTATTTCTTTGTGGCTCTGTTTATGACCATTAAAGTTGATGTAAACTCTAGAACTTATTTCATTGTTGTCCCCAGGCTGAAATCTAGATTCGGCACTCTGGCAGATTTTTAAGCAAGTCTAGAAAACAAAGACACATAGTTTTCTCAAAGGCTCAGAAAATTATAAAGTGTAACACTTACTTGTGGTTACTGAAACATGATGACTATTTTTACATGCATGTAAGCTATCTCGCTAGATCCGTAGTGCTTGTCAAAACCTCTGGGGATAGGAATTTGTTTTCTGATGTCTTTTATAAGGCTAGTAAATGTAAAATTAATATTCTTATCTGTAAGATGCACCTTTACTACTTTGATAGAAGTTTATTTTTAGTTATATATGTGTTTTCTTTTTCCATCACCCTTAGTGATTTGAATTACCTTGGTGATGCTCTACAGGAGCTTGATGAGGACCTGGACGATGACAGTGAATTATCGACTGACAGTAAAGAAGACATGTTCTACAGGTCAGTGAAGTGCAAAATTGAACTTGGTTATGTACTTTGTCACTTGAGAACAAAATTTTAGCATTTTGGGTTACTGCTAGAGCAAGCGCCTGGTGGTGGTTTCATGATAGATAAATTATCATGATTATTCAGTATGTTTAAAGGTTTAATGACAATAAAAAAGGCAAAGCAAAGGTAATGCAACCACATTTTACTTCGATACTTTGTGACAGTGCACTCATTTTACCCCCATCTCTCCATCAATTTTCTGTTTTAAGGGTGTTTTAAGCTAGTCAAAGCTTCTCAGAAAGGAGAAAAGGAGAAACTTGGATGTTATGTCACCAGGTATCAAACTCGGGACCTTGCACACTGAAGGCCATGTACTAGCCAACTGTGTCACCCTTGCTCCTTCCATAATATTTGGTAATATTTTATTGTTTTTATTTTCCCATATTATGTAGGGAAGAGGAATCAGGAGATGAAATAAGTACCATAGGTTCGTCTAGAGCAACTGATAAGGACCAGTCAGCATTGCCATCGCCTCTTCAGTTATCTGTAGCTACGCAAACAGATTCTTCAATAGCAGAAACACCTTCCTCGCCAGAAACGTCCACAGCCCTTCCCTCTTTGCAACCAGTCCCTTACGTGAAAAATGCCCTGCGTGCAAGTAAATTTAATCGTTTAGGAGAACAGGCTTGCCTTAGCAAGGAAATCACTCTTGTTGTGGGAACAAAAGTTGTTTGTTCCCTTGACCTTCTCATACAGTTGTTTGCTGAAAGTGTTGTCAGCCTGGTTGTCAGCTAGCAACCACAGTGAGCCACACTCTTTGTGGCACTAGTGTTTTGATCAAGTGGAAATGTCCAGCGGGTCATGTTGGGAAATTCTGGAGTTCCCACAAGGTCAATGGGGTCCTGGCCAACAATCTCCAGGCATGTGGTGCTGTCCTTCTGTCTGGTAACAACTTTGCTCAAGTTGAAAGTTTTTGGGTTTGTCGTTTGTATCGAGGTCGACATTTTGTCAGGCACAAAGGGTGTATTGCATACCAGCTATCAATGAGTGGTGGACTTAAGAGATAAGAGATAAGAGAGAAGTGGAGTTAAGGTCTGTTAACCTGGAAAAAAGGGTTCTTCAAAACATACTTGAGAGAATCACAGATGTTTTGACGGCAGGAGAAGTCGTTACCGATGCCTCTGCAAGTATTAAAAAAAATGATGGGTGAGTTTAGAAATCAATGTACTTTTGCCTTTTACTTTGCAAACTTTTCTGGTTGACTCAAGACAAAAGTAACAAGTAGAACAAAATATTAGTCGTACCTAGTTGAACTTCCAACTTGATATTCAAATTAAATAATATGAGATCTTTTAGGTCTTGGCAATGCCAGCTGCAGCTTAAATTAAGCAATTTAGCAAAACTGAGACAAAGTCAAAAGTATATATTAGCACATAAATTTTTTTAAACCATTTGAACTCTAATCAAGATACTTTGTTCTTGTTCTACTCACCCAAAGTGGTGAAGAACCAAATTAATCACTCTTTTCTCAAGGAGAAGTCTATGACGCATAAAGCATTAATTTATTTAACAGGCTGGGATTCTAAGCAGCAAGGCATTTTTTTTTAGTAATTGTTGTGTTTTTTTGGTTTTCGGAAGTGCATTTCCAACAATTTTCCATTCTTTAGATGTATGGCACAAGGCCAAGAGCATTAGAAAATGCTCAATAAGGTACGTACACTGAAATCAGCTGTTTATATATGTAGTTAAAATATCCAGACCCCTTTGAACGATTACCAGCACATTTCTCGGTAAAGGTTACATAGATTAAAATTTTAATGATAGCAGTTTTTAAACATTTATTGCGAAAGGTACAGAAGGTTCACACACAATACATGTTCATGCCAAATCTATCATAAATGATATTTACTATCATTTTTATCTCAGATTGGCAGTGCAAAGAACATGGAAAAAGTAAGTCAGTGGGCAGACCACATAATCAACCATTTTTGGTACTGCTGCAAAATGGCGTCCAAAGAAACTAGCAGTGATGAAGAGGCTCTAAGGAGGATGAAGGTAATTTGCACATAACCTGCAGTCATTCCTCTCGCAAACCTAGTTCAGAGCTAAAAATATATTTTATTTAGGGTTTTCCCGTTCCGCACTTTCTGGTAAATGTAATTTAATTTATCGTAATAGTCCAGTCTGCTAACCTTTTTTTCTTTTCCATGATCACTTTATAATTTATGAATATGAAGGTGCTTGTTGACCAATGAAGTAACTTTGTTCAAGCTAAAATTTTGAGAACTAAAACAAGTATACTTGAAAAAATTTTATGAACAAATAGTCACAAAATAAACACAACTAAGAAGGGTGGATAGACATGTCATGTTTGGCAGCTCTAAAATGGGGCACATGGTCTCACACATTTTAAAAAAACTCTATTAAGTTGACCAGTATTCCTTTTTTTTACAGTACACTAATGCACATCAATGTTTCTCACTATGCAGGATAAATGGATTGGTGTTACATGTAGAGATTGTACTAAAAACAAAACAACCGGAAGCGGAAACGAGTCTTGTGTATGACGTATTCATCCGGGTTATCAAAAAGAGAGCGCGAGCTGAACGAGTGACGAGAGAAAAAGAAACGGAATAAATGTGTGAAGCATGTGAAGTGTAAAGAAGTTTTACGGTTTATTTGTGGACGCATGAAACAAGGGTAACATTTTGGCGACCCTGCCAGGACGAACTTCGATTCTCAAGTCCGTGGGACGTTATTTGTTGTCAAGGGAAGCAGAAATGGTCAGAATTGGAGCTAAGGAGATTGTGAGTGGAGCGGTATGAACACGTGGATTTGCAGTTGGGGAGACAAGCGGCGACCGAAAACAGTCAGATGCGTACGGTAGGACTTTACAATATTGGGCTCTGTGACGGTGGAGTACATTCGCTAGTTGTTTTGTGTTTGGCGAAGTGGACAACTTGATTTGTTCTGTCGGCTCACTGTTACCGGAATTACCGCGTTTGCGCTAGGTTACTTGTGTTCAGTTTGGAAATAAGCTTTCGCGGTTAGAATTAATTATGGAACAATTACAACTCAAAGTAGAGTCTCGATTGTTCAAACAAGATGAGAAGGGTTTGGCTGAAATGATAGGACTATTGGGAATCGATGATGACCCTGCGGGTAAAAGTAAGATGCAGAGAATCAAAATTATTATGAAAACCATCGACAGCAAAATGGCGGGCGATGAAAAGGAAGCATGAGCGTGCCTCGAACAGTTACTTGCTTTTGTGACCGGCAATGTACCGCCCCTCGAAGAGGTAGAGCAAAAACCAGCAGCTTCAGGAGTAAAAACGGGGAAACAATCTTCTGACGGAGGACCTAAACAAGAAAAGGGAGTGGAAGATATATTGAGTCAGTTAGCGAAAACAAAGTCGAGTTGAGTTCATCTTTGCTACGTCGCGAATTTAAGATTTCTGGTCAGATCGGCGAACCAGGGCAAACAGAGAAACTAACTTTTGTTTCCTTAATGCACCAGATAGACTCAGGGCTAAAACGTGATTACCAAGAAAATGAAATTGTGGATGCAGTGATTCGTGCCATCTCTCCACACAGTAGTCTTCGGAGCTATGTTGAGACTCTAAGTGACCTCTCACTAGCTAAGCTACGAAGGATCCTTCGTGTCCATTATAGAGAGAAAACAGCCTCAGAAGTATATCAGCAATTGGCCACCGTGTGCCTTGCGTAACAAGGTGGATTTTGCAAGTAAGGAGTCAGATTGCGAGTTCAATTACGGTGCATCCCTGATTCAGAAAACCTTTGTAAAATCATTTGAAACTGGTCTTCATGATGACATCCTTGCATCTAACTTAAGACCCACCTTACGCACCTCGGGACTCACCGATGAAGAGCTCATGCGGCAGGTGAATGAATTAGCCTCACAACAAGCAGAAAGGAGTTCCAAGCTGGCTAGTGAACGCCAAAAGTCTGCCAAAGTTCATACATGTGAGGTAGGCAAAGACGAGAGAGAAGCAAGAGCTAAGAATGCAACTACAGATGGAGGTCAGCAGCTTTTGCTAGAGATCCGTCAGATCAAGTCAGAGATAAATGATCTCAAGGATCAGGTCAATCGTCGAGGGAGCCAGGCAGAAAATTCTAACTGGCGTGGGCCATCCTACAGGGGCCGTGGGCGTGGTTATCAGCCAAACCGTACAAGTTGGGGTTGTCAGAATTGCAAGCAGAGGGGAAGAGGAGATGAATGTAATCATTGCTTTGCTTGTGGTGACTCGGGGCATGTGGCTCGGGAAAGTTACCGTAATGACAACCAGGGGTAGTTGACAGGGAAACGGTCGACGACTATTCCGACGGGACGCGGAATAGTTGACAACAGTAGTAACAAGTCCCTCTGATGTAATGGTTGTCGGAAAGTTCAGTCAACAAAGGCAAAGTTCTTACAATGTTCAAAGTGCAAGGCCCTGAAGTATTGTAGCCGGAATTGTCAGAAGAAACACTGGCAGGAACACAAAGTGTTGTGTAATGCGATTGAGTACCTGTCAAACAAAGCAAAACAAGAGAATGCGGATCCCAGTAGTAGCACCTTTGTCAGTCACCTAACACCACAGCAGCACGCCACAGTAGTAGGATTGGTAGGAAAGAGGTGTACTGTTAAGGGGGAGATCAATGGCCAAAAGGTAGATGTACTTTGGGACACTGGGGCCCAGGTGTCCTTAATATCTGACCAGTTAGTAAGAAGGAATTTCCCTGGGATCACTATTAAGAACATATCAGAGTTGTTAAATTCTGAACTGAACCTGACCGCAGCCAATGGTGGTGACGTGCCATACATAGGATGGGTGGAGCTTACCTTTAGACTGTTGTCGTCTAAGGAGGAATTGGCAGTTCCCTTTCTTGTTATAGACCAATCATTAGACACGCCAATAATCGGCTTTAACGTGACTGAGGAGATTGTTAAAACCAGTAGTGAGGATGCTATGCTACATCAAGAAATTACTTCAAGTTTTACTGAGTTAAATGGCAAGAATGCTTCAGCATTAGTGAATTTTATCCAAAGCCGTAATCAAAGTGATCTCTGCTTGATCAAGACCATGAAGCATGATACTATTATACCTCCCAGACAAAGTCAAAGTGCGACTTGCAGAGCAAACATAGGGCCTGTAGAGAGAACTACTCAAGTACTGTTTGAACCAGATGAGTCTACCCCATGGCCTAGCGGGTTGGAGATTACAGAGACTTTGTTGACTGTAAAGAAAGGGAAATCAAGTAAAGTGGAAATTGACATTGTTAACAATACCAACCATGATATCAGACTCCCGGGACGAACCTTGCTCGGGCAACTACAACTTGTACAATCAGTTACACCAGTAGAAGTTAGGTTAAAGGACTCTAATGGGAACATGAAAACACCTGATGAAGAGAGTACAGAAGCAAAAGTTGCTGATCAGGCTACAACATGTACTGGGAACGCCGGAGGCCCACCGCTTATACCTCCACATGCTGAAGAACCTTTGAGTACTCCATCACACATAAAGGACATAGACCTAAGTGGTCTCAATGCCCATCAGAAGGAAATGGCACTTAAATTACTTACCGAGGAAGCAGATTCATTTGCAAGGGATGACAGTGATGTTGGCTGTATTAGAGACCTTGAGTTAAACTTGGATCTTGATGATCAAACCCCTGTTCAGAAGAACTATGTGGCAGTGCCAAAACCACTATACCCAGAGGTAAAGGCTTATATTGCAGATTTGTTAAATCGTGATTTGATCCGAAAGTCCTCCTCGTCCTAAAGTTCACCGGTTGTTTGTGTTAGAAAGAAGGACCAAAGTTTGCGGCTATGCGTGGATTACAGAGCACTGAACAAGAAAACGCGACCTGATCGCCATCCGATACCGAGGATACAAGAGACTTAAGATAATCTCGGTGGGAACTCTTGGTTTTCAGTACTAGACCAGGGCAAAGCTTACCATCATGAACGCTAAAAGTCAGCCTTATACAGCATTTATCACTCCATGGGGTCTCTACGAATGGGTGAGGATCCCATTCGGACTCTCCCGAGCCCCAGGGGCTTTCCAACGATTTATGGAGAACTGTCTAGGAGACTTACGATATACTGTTTGTATACCCTATCTGGACGATATAATCATATTCAGTGCGTCCTTTGAGGAACATGTTGAACATACACGCAAAGTCCTGCGTCAGCTGCGAGAGCATGGAGTCAAACTCAAACCGCGGAAGTGTAAACTGTTCAAAAAAGAAGTTGTATTTCTTGGACGCGTGGTGTCTGAGGAGGGCTACAAGCTAGACCCCTCCAGTATCAAGCCAGTGCTTTCTCTCAAGGAATCATCTCCAAAGACAGTTAATGAAGTGCGCAAACTAATGGGGTTCTTAAACTACTATCGTCGATATATAAAGAACTTCTAAGAAATTGCAAAACCAATCTATGATTTAATCAAGATAACAGATCACTCTTCTGAAGAGTCCATGAGAGAAAAACCAAGTCAAGGCAAGAGGAACCCTTCACAGTTACCGCCAAGGCACCCAGTCGTCTGGACCACCTCTCACCAATCTGCACTAGATAAACTAATTGATTGTCTGACGTGTGCTCCAGTCATGGCCTACCCAAACTTTGAGAAACCGTTTGTCCTTCATACAGATGCCTCTAAGGATGGGCTTGGTGCTGTGCTGTACCAACACTAAAATGATATCCTTCGCATTGTTGCTTATGGGTCACGCACTTTGACTCCTGCCAAGAAGAATTACCACTTACATTCTGGAAAGTTGGAGTTCCTTGCACTAAAGTGGGCCATCTGTGACCAGTTTAGAGATTACCTTTATTACGCTCCAAGCTTCAAAGTGTATAATAATAATAATTTGCTTACTTATGTCCTGTCCTCGGCAAAACTTAACACGACAGGCCTTCGCTGGATAGGTGACTTGGCTGATTTTAATTTCACAATTCACTACCGACAAGGAAAAGCGAACATTGATGCTGATACATTGTTGTGAATGGCGCTTGATGACATTGCTTATATGGAGTCGTACACAGAGGTTATACCGCATGAAGTCCTCCAGACTGTCGTGTGTTCTGCAAAGCTTCAAGAGGAAGGAACAGTGAATTGGATCTCAGCTCTTTCAGGAGACCCTGCTACACTCGAATCAGATATGTCTGATGGAGGAAAACCTAGTGTACCGCAACTTGACGTAAAACAAGCACAAACTGCGGATCCAGTCATCAATCGAGTAAGAGAGTTGATTCAGTGTGGATTGCGCCCAACGACAGCCGAGAGAAAGAAAGAGAGCTAAGGGATGTGCAGCTGCTCCTTCATGAATGGAATAGCCTGTCAGTTGACAAGGATGGGATACTCCAACGGTGCACAAGAAGTCGTACTCAAATCCTCATTCAAAAAAAACTGCGCTCACTGATTCTTAAGGAGTTGCATGAGAAAATGGGTCATCTCGGAGCGGATCGCACTTTACACCTAGCCAGAGAGCGCTTCTATTGGCCACACATGAAGAGCGACATTGAGCACTATATTGGGCATGTCTGTCAATGTGTTAAATGTAAACCTCCGACTCACAAGATCAGGGCTCCATTACAACCCATCACCACTACTGCACCGTTCGAACTGATTGCTATCGACTTTCTCCATCTGGAGAAGAGCAGTGGAGGGTACGAATATATTCTTGTTGTGATGGACCACTTTACTCGCTATGCGCAAGCTTATGCTTCAAAGAACAAGTCAGCCAGAACAGTCGCTCAGAAGCTTTACAATGATTTCGTCCTTCGATTCGGCTTTCCTTTAAAGATTCACAATGACCAGGGAGGAGAGTTCAAAAATCGTCTTCACCAAGAGCTAGAGAAGTTGTGTGGCGTGGGACACTCCCGCACCACCCCTTATCATCCACAAGGGAACGGACAAGTTGAACGATTCAACCGCACTTTGTTGAATATGCTCCGCACCCTACCAGAGACACAGAAATCACGATGGGCAGATCACCTTAATCAAGTCGTACACGCATATAATTGCACGAAGAACGAGGCTACTGGTTTCTCTCCTTTTTATCTGCTATTTGGCCGCCACCCTCGTCTGCCAATCGACCTGATCTTTGGCATTGACAGGACAGGTAACCAAGGCAGCCATACTCAATATGCAGCGCAGTGGCAGAAGGCGATGTCAGAGGTTTATGAACTAGCAAGAAAACGGGCAAATGAAGGGAGCGACAGAGCCAAACAACGCTATGATCATCATGTCCGAAGTTCAGTGTTGCAACCCGGAGATAGAGTGCTTCTGCGGAATTTAAGCGAACGGGGCGGCCCAGGTAAACTTCGCTCGCACTGGGAAGACCGAATTCATGTGGTGATTAGTCGTAAAGGTGAGGACAGTCCAGTCTATGAAGTCAAACCTGAGACAGGTCCTGGTGGAACACGAATTCTACACAGAAACCTGTTGCTGCCATGTAACCATCTCCCAGTAGATGTTGCGAGTAAGACCCCTCACAGACAGAAGTCTCGGAAAGAAATTAGGAGAGAGACAAATCATGCGCCTACAACACTTGTGGAAGAGTCGTCAGACGACGAAAGTGAGCATTACGAGTTGAACTTCGAACCTGAACGGCAACCTGAACTACAAACTGACCATTCCGCAGAGTCAGTCTCCGAGGATATTGCTTGGGAATCAGCGACCGTCTCAGACAGAGGAGAGGGAGAAGATGGTTGCTCGGCAGATGAAGAGCAGGAACATTACCCCCCTGTAGAGGAGACAACACCCTTCCCTGCAGCGAGTGAGAATGAGACAGGACCATCGACCCCAGGTAACACTAGTCAGGAAGGCGCCTCTATAGCAGAGTCTAGACCTCAGCGTGACAGACATCCCCCAGCAGTCTTGACTTATGACACTCTTGGAAACCCAGTGTACCAGGCTAGAGCTGTTGTGCAATCACTTACCAATGACAGTGTACCGTTACCATCTACTCCATATGCCCAAGGTCCTCCTCTTGCGTGGCAAACAAGTTTACCAGCTACCTGGCAGCCCATACCACCAATGACCATGCAGCCGTTTCCCTCATTTCATTATCCAATGATCTTTGG